TTCTGTTGTTGAACAACAAAAAGTAAAATTTGAGTTTTAAATTCCCTATTAAAAATCTAGCTAAAAGAAAATACTGCCCCTAAAATACAATGGATTAGGGGAGTTGGAGAGATCATTGGACAAATTTGGGGCTTATCATTATCAACGGTGCCCTTTTAAGCTTGTGGATTTCTGAGCCAATGCAGAAAATGTAACAACAGGGATTTCTCAACAGCAAGAGGCACACTCCAAGGGAGTAAATTGTCAACTATTGCCTCTCGTGAGAAACTTAAGAGTAACCTTGATCCAATCTCAATAGTCAACCTATGTATTATCACCCAGTTGGGGCATAGTGAGTGCATTTCCTAATACAAAAATAAGATGGTATTCTATCAGAAGCCACTGGATATATATACAGAAACAAAATTTACATAATTTTGAGGTAAACTTAGCCTAAGAATCCAAAACATCTTTCTTTCATTTCAACTAGCCCCTAAAAATACCTATATATTTCTTATGTAAAAAAGAAAATAAAAGGTCCATGTTATGCAATAATTGATATTGGAAAGAATGACTGTCTAGGAATAAGGATGAAGACAAAGCAGAACTACACTTGCAAAAACTATCCTTTAAAGGTGAACACAAATACAGTAAAAGACTTAGAATCAGGAAAACGCGGATTCAATTCAAGGTAGCCTCATCTACAAAACAGAATGCTATTATATGCTAAAGGACTCTGAAGTGTTTTTGATATAATAATGCACAAAACAGCTCTTAACACACCATCATTATTCAATACATGCCTTGTTCTTTTCCTCTGTGTCCTAACCCACATCTCTGAGACAAAACAACAAGAGCAAAATGACTTGAAATATCATGATGTGTGCTTCATGTCACAACTGGATATTTACTTTTCAATATGGTAGTCACTCTCCACATGTTACCTATTCACGTTTAAATTCATTTTAATTACAACTAAATAAATGTAAAAATCCAGTTCCTCGTCTAATCAGGAATAACCAAATAAAAAATGTTTACCAGCACATGTGTTTAGAGGCTATTATATATGGATAGCACACATAAAAATCATTTCCCTCTTAAGTTGTCCTGGAAGTACCAAGTAACAAGCATTTTAAGCTTTTCAGGCCACAGAAGACTTCATCCTGACTACTCAACTGTACAACATAAATGAATGGACTTGGCTCCATTTCAATAAAACCTTAGTTATAAAACACAGATAACAGGTTGGGATTTGCCAATATGATACCTTGACAATCATGACTCTAGAGTTTGAGTCCAGATGCTCAGTATGAGCACTGTGAACTATGTTTCAACTAAGAAACCTTAAATTCAATGCAAGAAATCAGTATCTTAATGTACTTGAATTAAATGTTTAATATAACCATGTTTTTACAGATTATACTGGTGGGAATGCAATCTTGTGCAACCACTTTGGAAATCGGTGTTTCGGTTTCTCAGGAAATTCGGGATCAACTTACCCCTGGACCCAGCAATACCACTCCTGGGAATATACCCAAGAGATGCCCTATCACATGACAAGAGCATTTGTTCAACTATGTTCATAGCAGTTTTATTTGTAATAGCCAGAACCTGGAAACAACCTAGATGCCCTTCAATGGAAGAATGGATGAAGAAAAGTGTGGAATATCTACACATTAGAGTACTATGCTGCGTTAAAAAACAATGACTTCTCAAATTTTGCATGCAAATGGATGGAAATAGAAAACACTATCCTGAGTGAGGTATCCCAGACCCAAAAAGATGAACATGGGATGTACTCACTCATAATTGGTTTCTAGCCATAAACAAGGGTCACGGAGTCTACAATTGGTGATCCCAAAGAAGCTAAGTAAGAAGGTGAACCAAAGGAAAAGCATATAGTTGTCCTCTTGGCTATGGGAAGTAGACAAAATTGCCGGGGAGAAAATTGAGATCTTGGGGGTGGGGTGGGATGGGGGTAAGGGGAGATGGGGAGAGAGGGGGGAGAGGGGGAGAATGGGAGGAGCTTGGGGAAGGGGGAGGATTGGGATGAAGGAAGGTTGGATGGGGGAGCACGGAAGCACGGTTCTTAGTTAAGGGAGCCACCTTAGGGTTGGCAAGAGACTTGAACCTAGAGTGGCTCCCAGATACCCAAGCCGAGGTCCCCAGTTAGTTCCTTGGGCAGCTGAGAATGGGGAACCTGAAATGACCCTATCCTAGAGCAATACTGACGAATATCTTGCATATCATCATAGAACCTTCATCTGGTGATGGATGGAGACAGAGACAGAGACCCACACTGGAGCACTGGACTGAGCTCCCAAGGTCCCAATGAGGAGCAGAAGGAGGGAGAACATGAGCAAAGAAGTCGGGACCACGAGGGGAGCACCCACCCACTGAGACAGTGGAGCTGATCTATTGGGAGCTCACCAAGGCCAGCTGAACTGTGACTGAAAAAGCATGGGATAAAACTGGACTCTCTGAACGTGGCGGACAATGAGGGCTGATGAGAAGCCAAGGACAATGGCACAGGGTTTTGAACCTACGTAATGTGCTGGCTTTGTGGGAGCCTAGCCAGTTTGGATGTTCACCTTCCTAGAAATGCACGGAGGGGGGAGGACCTAGGACTTATCACAGGGCAGGGAAATCTGACTGCTCTTTGGGCTGGAGAGGGAGGGGGAGAGGAGTGGGGGGAGGGGGAGAAGGGTGGGAGGAGGGGGAGGGAAATGGGAGGCTGGGAGGAGGAGGAAATTTGTTGTTTTTTTTTCTTTTCTCAATAAAAAAAAAGTTAAAAAAAAAACCTCTACACAAAGCATTAAAGCAGATTAACTTAAAATGTTTATAAAGTGAAAAGTATTTAATGGTAATTGTGATATAGATATGAATAATTTGTATTAGTATAGATTTTGCTTTATTGATAGAGATTTAAGGTCAATTTTGTTATATGTATATGCATATTTCTGCTATTGATTAAGATATTGTGATTGTGTATTCATTTAAAAATGTAATGTATAATTAGAAATATAGATTGTTAATAGATAATCATAATAGTCAAGTTTGTAGTGATTTAAATTTAAGGTCAATTTTGTTATATGTATATGTGTTTCTGATCTTGATTAAGGTATTGTGATTGTGTAGTTCATTTAAAAATGTAATGTATATAGATTGTTAATGGATAATCATTAATAATAGTCAAGTTTGTAGTCATGTTAGTTAAGATTTTCTAGATGTACATAGATATATTTTAGATAGGCATTCTTCATATTTTTCAAAGATTATAGAATATGGCATTTTAAATGTTTTAATAATTTAGGGCTTTTCATGACAATGAGACACGTCTGCTCCTGGCAGCACCAATCTACTTCAAGAAGAAGATGGGCATTGAAGAGGCACCTTATGGAGTTTTGATAGCCATTTGGGCAAGAAACTGCTCTTGCCTGGACTATTGCATAAACTGGACACAGAGAACCCGCAGAGAGAGGACTGCTGAACTTGCCTAAAGGTGAGATGATCTTTCGGGGTTCCTGATTCATGAAAGAGTCTGCAAGACATTCTTCAGGACACAACAGATAGTGACTGAACTGACTTTGAAATGTCCTGCTTCATGGAAATGTCTCTGGATACCATGGGCCTGTAGGCCAAAGATGGATGCCCCAACGGTACAGAGGAACTTTGGGTGACTGTCCAGGCAGCAAAATGTCTCTGTCATTTCTAGAGTTTGAAAGTTGCTTATTTCTTGTTTGCTTAGGTAATATTATATCCTTCTGGAGTCTTTGATGGAGTTAAAGAATATATAGATAGTTATAGTTTTCCTTAGTTATGAAAAAAGATAAAATAGATGTAAATATTGTAACTTTTACTTGATAACTGTTTTGTTATATGTAATTTTGCTATGTTAAAGTTAAAGCCTTTTTTTTGTTTAAACAGAAAAAGGGGAAGTGATGTGGGAGTGTCATCTATCAATCTGTTGATTTCATTGGTTAAGTAATAAACAAACTGCTTGGGCTCATAGCTTAGAACATAGGTGGGTGGAGTAAACAGAACAGAATGCTGGGAGGAAGAGGAAGTGAGGTAAGACGCCTCAGACAGAGACGCCATGCTCCCAGCTCCCAGACAGACACGATTCAGCTCCAACCCAGGATGGACGTAGGCTAGAATCTTCCCAGTAAGCGCACCTTGGGTGCAACACAGATGATTAGAAATGGGCTAAATTAATATGTGAGAATTAGCCTAGAAGAGGCTAGATAGAAATGGGCCAAGCAGTGTTTAAAAGAATACAGTGTCCGTGTAATTATTTCGGGTAAAGCTAGCCGTGCAGGCGGCCGGGGTGCTGGGGATGCAGCCCCGCCGCTCTTATTACTACAGTAATTGGTCTATCATCTGTCATCCTCAAGTCAGTATGTAACTCCAGCTGTGACATAGACCTAGAATTCTGGATTCATATGCCCAATAACTTATTGAAAATGCCTAGAGATTTATTACTCAAAGACAACACGCAAAAGACAGAGTTTTTGATCCTGTTCTTTGTTTTCTCCCTCTTAGTAAAAAAATATAAGGATCTACTGCTATTCTCCTGAATTCTAAATTGCTCTCATATTACACAGTAAACTACCCATTAAAACAATAAAAATTAGCTCCTATGTTAGCATGACTAATCCAATCTAAATCTAAGCTAGCCTCCAGGCATTCTCAAGGTTGCCACCATCTGAATTATCAGAAGAATGTTACTTCTATTATACTCATCCTAAATAGTTCTATACTTATTCAGTTGTTTTCCCAAACTATCCTCTCTTCAACTCAGGTACTCTACTTTCGTCCCATTCCCCCCACAAGTCTGGGTCAAATACAAGCTTTACATAATGTTTCACACTCAATCTTTATTGCCTAGAGGAGGCCTGGCATATAGACATTCAATAACTGCATACACACGTGCAGAACTGACAAATTCTTAATCAAGTGCCTATTTGTCTCAAACTTGTTCTAAACAAGAAATATTTCAAGCTGTAAAAAAACAGGTAACAAACTTAGTTCTCCCATATTGCAGCATATATTTACACATTTATTAATGTGAATTTTATTTTGCCATTTACCTCCCTTCCTTTGCAAGTCACCAAGGCAGCCAGTGGTTTGGCATAAAATCTGCTGTAGGAAAATCCCAGACAACCATACATACTGTTTGCCGTGAGCTTCAAAGCCTTCTGTCGGATGTCATACTGCAGACCAACAAAATGACAAAAGATAAACAACAGTATCTGTAGATGCTTAAGCATCACATTGGATATTTTTCTAGATCACAATAAGAGGGAGAAACTTTCAATATCCAGGGGTAAGGGGAATACTTAATACTCAATCTGTCTCCCCAGATTCATCTTGCCCTACCCTCTTAGAAGGAAGTACATAGACTACTGATTTCCCAAGATTCTGTAAGATCTTGCTCAGATATGGCCTTAGCAGCTAGAGAAGACTTCAATTCTGAGGCAGTCTAGTGCCTCTGAATGATTATTATCCAAAATAAAACAAGCACACCATACTATTAATCCCACTCCTCAATAACCAAGTGATAAAAAGTGAAACTGTCAAGCAAACATGCTGCAGTGAAAAGATTTACCTGAAGAACAAGGTCTGAATTTAAATCGTGCTGTTTCATTAGCTGTTTGACTTGTTTTCTCCGCTCTACCAGTTTCCGGATCTCTCTGGGCAAAATGCCCATATCTAAGTTTGGATCTGGCAACTCAGGGATCTGTTCTTGTTCCTCATCCTTAAAAACACACAATAGAAACTTCAGACAAGTTAAACATTAATAAAAAATAAATTCTAAAGTAATATTTGACAATTGCTTTATCCCATTACCACACCTTAGAAATCTTTCCTGTATGAGGAAATCAATAATTTAGATTTACTGTAAAAGGATGGAGTTTTACAAATGTGGAGCAACATGATTGGGAAAATTGGTTTTAAAATACAGCTGTTAAGAAAAATTCCTAAGAATAAAAAAAACAGCTAGACTCTTTGTTTTTTAACATTTGTACAACCAAACAAAATGCTATAGAATGTTTCACAACAATCACTATAAATGCTTTTGCTGTTAAAAATAAAGAGGTTATATACTAAATCAGCAAATCTCTTTTTAAGATTTGGATCACATTTAAATAGGTCATGACATTTCTAAAATTAATTCACATATACACACATATATATTACACATATTCCTTAGTGTTTATGGAGTACCTTTTACCTATAAATTGCTTTGCAATCACCAGAAGAATGGCAACATTTTAGAAAGGCAATCAGTAGTCTTCTTATATTAAAATTTACAGCAGGAAAAAGCAGGGAAAGCATTAGGGCTTTTTTCTCAAGCCTCCATTAATCCTATTAACAGGCTGCAAAGAACAGCCAGGCACAGTTACCCTTTGAAAGGCTCAAAATTAAAAATAAACCTTTTGGCTTAAAGCATGTCAAGTCAATGCCATTTGATAACCCAGTCTTTTAAAAAGTATGTGATTTTATAAAGATCAATATCATAAAATAAGTAGCCTTACAATACTAATAAGGACCTATTGTTTTCCAATATAGCACATGATGATAGCAAACCTATGAAAGAGACCTTGGTATATATTCCACTGTATTTCAGCAACTAGAGTCATATAAAAAGTAATTGAAAAGATTCTTGGGACAGAAAATTTATAATTCATCTGAAGCCCTACCACCACCTACAGGGTGAAACTACCTGCTCTGAAAACCAAATGAGGTGCTGCACATGAAAATGATAAAGAATTCATAAATTAATACACATATAGTGTTTCTGAAGATGACCTCTTGGATCCTTCCACTCTATTATATATCCAGAAACCAAAATGAAAAGTTCAAATAAGCAAAACATTGGTAGGCATCAGTTGTGAAAGCAGCAAGAATAACTGTCACATTTCTTAGAAAATATCAGGACACAGCAAAAGAGTATCAGCAGCAGTTGCTAATTTGGGGGGTTTGTATGTCCAATACTTTCTTTGTAAAATTATCCTCTAATCCCACAGAGAGGTCCACTTTTAACAGTCAGATTTATAGAGAAAGAATCCATTCCTGTGGAGAAAAGTGATAGAACTAGGGGTGATGACTGACTCAAGCAAGTCTATCAGATACTCTCTTCTAGGAATATGGAACTAGAACTAAAAAAAACAATACCAGACAGTTTGAAACTAAAGGATATATAAATTCAGAACCTGGAGGACAAATGGGGAGAAAGCAGGGAGAAAAAGAAGGGAGGGACAGATGGTGAAATGGATAAATGTGATGAGTAATAATCCTATGCTGCACTGAGACAGGATTATTCTAGAAATACGGACAAATAAATCTCAGAAACAGTATGCTAAGTGAAACAAGCCAAACACATGAAAAATCACACCCTTTATGATTCCATTTACATAGAATTCCAAAGTAGGCAATTTTACAATCAGAAAGATTCGTGGTTGCTGCTGAGAAGACAAATCTCCAATAGACGATTCCAAACTCATGATCGCACACATGGCCTAGGTTAAGTTCATTAAGTCAAAAAATAAAACAAAAAGACATGAATGTGGGAAGAGGGGCTTGTAGAGAAAAAGGATATAGGAGAGGGTGTGGATGAGAGCAAACAGAATGCATTATATATATTCACAAAACTGGCAAAGAACAAATTAATAAAAATCTACAGTGAAAAAAATTAATGACAGACTAGAGCTGGGATGGATAGAGGAACTTGTTAGAAGTGACAGCTACATGGATTTTGTGGAATAATCGAGCTGAATGAAGCAATGGTTTACAAACTCTATGAAGACACTAAGAACTAACACTGCACACTATAAATAAGCAGACTGTTTAGAAAGTGAATTATATCTCTACAACATTGTTTTTTTAACAAAGACACAGACCAGTCTAAATCTCTTTTTGGTTGGTCCTCCTTTTTGATGACAATGAAAGAATTTAATTAGGGCTGGAGAGAGAGTTCAATCAGCAAAATACTTACTGAAAAAGCATGAAGACCCAAATTTGTATCACCACAATCGAGGAAAGAGCAAGCACGGGGCCAGTAGGAAGGTAAAAGATTTTTTTTTGTGGGGGGGGGGGGGAGCGGGTTCAAGACCGGTTTTTCTATGTAGCCCTGGCTGTCCTGGAATTCTCTATAGACCATGCTGGCCCCAAACTCAGAGATCTACTTGCTTCTGCCTTCCAAGTGCTGGTGTTAAAGGCGTGTGTCACCACCTTTTAATGTACAAGCCTCACAGACTAGTTTGATCCCCAGAAACCAGTGAAAAAAGGGATAAGTCCTAAAAGTTATTTTCTAACCGCCACATCAACATTTACATTGACGCACAAACAAAAGTAATGAATAATAATGAATATTTTGTAAGGTCAACATGGTGCTACACCCCTATAAACCAGTTAGGGGATGTGAGACTGACACAGGTAGATCCCAGGACCTCACTAGCTAGCCAGTCTAGTAAAAACGATTAGCTCCAGGTTTAGTGAGAGACCCTGTCGCAAAAATTTAAGGTGAAGATTGACAGAGGAAGACACTGGCTGGCAGTCAACATCGAGCATTCGCGCATAACACATTTGCATGGAAACACACATGGACACATGAACATATCCAAGAAAGAATGTTGTTAATACAACCATTCAAAGGAAAGAGAAATAACTATGATACTAAGCCCTTTGGCTCTTTTACTTCTATAAGGAATACCTTTAAAATTGACTTCAAGAGCCCCAGCTGAATACAAACCTCTGCAGCTTTTTGCACCTCTGAAGCAACTCTTTGTACTGTTGTAAAACAAATGTTAAATTCCTGAATGATGGAAGGATATAAACTGTTGAAATCCAGGAGCAAAATGAACTTGTCATAAAAACCTAAAACAAAAAAGCCACATAATATCACATAAAAGTCAAAAGAAAAGTGCCATAAAAATACCTCACTATATAGAAACTGTATAACATCCAGCACTGTAAAGCAGATAAAATGGGGGGGGGGGTTAACTACAAATCTATAAAATGACTTAGATTACAGTAAAATACACATCACAAAAGAAAGAGTGAAAAGACTGCCTTTCTTGAGAACCAGTGACAGTGACAACCAGCCTGCTCTCAGGCAGTTCCAAAACATGTCATTATTATGTTCAAAAACCTTCCCTTGTCAATTGTTTTAGAAATTATCATGTTTGAGTCCAAAAAACAAACACAGTTAAGTTTAAGTATTCTTTCCCACTATTCTCACCCCACCATAAAAAAAAATGCAGTAAGTGGTTATACTGCATATATATCTTTTACAACCTCACCTTCAAGGAATAAAATTGTCAGCACATTTACCTCTACAAAAACTGTTTCAAATCAATCAAGAAATGGATATATAAATGTCAGTAGTGGGACGATCGACCCTTTCTTCTCGTAAAAGGATGAAAAGACAACTACTATATTTCTCTAGGACATTTATAAAAAGTTATCTTCACCTTGAGAAGAAACTGACGATATAAATGTCCACTGAAACAGAACTGCAAACTTGCATTGGTAGTAGACAGGGTTTCTCTTTGGAGCCCATCCTGAAACTAGCTCTTGTAGCTCAGGCTAACCTTGAACTCACAGAGATCTACCTGTCTCTTTCTCCCGTCTCTGTCTCCCGAGTGCTGGGATTAAAGGCATGTGCCATCACCAGCCAACTTTACTCCTCATCTCAGTCCCACTTACTCCCTCTGCTCTTCTGTGGTAGATACCATCATCTCCTTTTCATAGAAAAAGAGACTGGGGTAAAAGAAATTAAATAGGCAGCACCCAAACCAATATCTAACACCAAAAGTATCATTCCTTGTCATCACAACTAATAAAATTGTTTGTAAAAAATGTCTTCTCCTGAGTTACTTGATAAAATTCACACTAAATGTGAATATACATAATTATACTATTGAGTATACACACTTGCAAACAACTAAGATGGTCTGAAAAACAGGAAAGATGAACCTCTAAACATCACAAACCTTATCTTTCCCTTCTGCACAACAAAGAAAAGGCACTTTCCTATTAAATTTTAACTCAGTGGTTATTTTACTTTCATAAACATTGTTTTCCAAATTACCTGGCACACTGGGCAAAGATGAGGACATTCTCACATAAAGAAGGAAAATTAGGTAATTCTACTACAGGCTGAACAGCAATCTCTATATTAGAGCAGAGACTGAAACTTGAGTAAAGACCAAATTTGAGATATTGCGTATATTTTTCTAACACCTATAAACTAACAGCATTCTAAATAGCTAGAAAAGTAATATATATATACATATAAAAGATAAGTGAAATTTAAGTTTCAAGGTATATAAGTAAAGCTGTGTTGACATATGGCAAAGAATTCATACTAATTCCATGTTAAGTAACTAGTAAACTAGATTTCACATGTGTAAAGATAAAAGATAAAACTAAAGTCATTAAGAAACCAGTTTGCTTACCTCCAATATAAAAACAGATATTTACATTACAATTCATGGCAGTAGCAAAATTATAGTTATAAAGTAGCAATGAAATAATTTTATGGTTGGGGTCACCACAACATGAGGAACTGTATTAAAGGGTCACAGCATTGAGAACCATTATCTTAATACCAGGGGCAAACCAAACTGCTACCAAGTCTTACCAACTTTGGGGTCCAAAACCAAGCCTCCAGCATAAGCCGCTTTCTTACGTCCTTTCTTATATTTATTGGTATCTCCATCAATTTCTTCATCTTCATCTCCCTATTTCAAATGGAAATAAAACATCACCAGCTAGCAACTAGCTAATGAATTATAATACTGGGTTACAAAAAATATTTACTTTTACTTAATGGTCCTACCTATGCAGGGGAAATCTATTATCATATTACATTTATGGATCCAAATGAATGCCAAGCATGGTAGTTTCTTAAGTAAATAACCAGTTTTCTGAATTCTCTATTTAACTGTCTCTGGAATCCTAGAAATTTCATTTGAGGGCTAGGGATATAGCTCAGCTAACATAGTGCCCTCCTAGCACTTACAAAACCCTAGTCCCATTACCAGTACCACATAAAACCAGGTGTGATGACACATACCTGTAAGCCTGGCTTGGAAGGTACAGCCAGGAGGGTAGTAAATTCAAAGGCATCCTCAGATATACAAGAAGCTAGAGGACAGCCTGAGCTAAAGTAGAACATGTTTAAAATATATGTATTTTTTAAAAATGAGCAAAAAGAAGAAAATTTTATTTTAAAATCAATAGGTATTAAAATGTTTCGTGTTACATAAATGTTGAGATTGTAAAGGAGTTTTACTAAATTCACTACTCTGGCTGGGCAGTGGTGGCATGTGCCTTTAATCCTACTATTCGGAACAGAGGCAGGTGAATCTCTGAGTTTGAGGTCAGCCTAGTCTACAGAGTGAATACTGGGATGGCCAGTGCTATACAGAGAAACTCTGTCTCAACCCCCCCACCCCCCAAAAAAACACTAATCTTATATTTATGATGAAAAAGGGATAAAAATTCTTCTGATTCATTATCATTATTCTAATTATTATTACTTTTATGATATGGGGTCTTGGTGTGTTGTTCTGGGCTCAAACAATCCTCTTGTCTCAATCTCCCAACTCTAGCAAGTACCATCATGCATGGCTGATTGCCATTATTAGTAGGAATTTCTTAAAATAACTATGCCCACAAAATGAAAAATCCACTTTCAAGCAGTTTATTAACAGTCAACATTCAATACCTCTGCAGAAGTTAAATAGATCTAAATTAGTATTTGCTGTACGATTTTCAATAATGTGCCTAAAAATAAATGAAACTGAGTCACACGCTAACACTCAATTCCCATTCTTAATTCCTATCAGTACTGATAAAATGGAAAATAGAGTAAGTTTTAGTTCCAAAGTCATAGAATCTACTTCAGAAACCTGACTGGTGTCATAATCGCACTAGTAGCAGGTTGTGTGACCCCAATCCGAAAATCTAAAGTTCAAAATCTGAAGATTCTTAAGTGAAAATTAATGACTCTACGAGCAGAAATTAGCACATCATCACATGTACCAGGAAGTTTAAATATTATAAAATCACTTTCAGTTAATACAAGCACTCATACACACAACACACACACACACACACACACACACACACACACACGTGAATCCCCAAATTAATTTTGTGTTTAGAGATATATTCCCATCCTAGGGTTTCTCATCACATATATACAAATGTTCCAAAATAAAATAAATAAATAAATCTAAAACACTTCAATCCCAAGCATTTTGAATTAGGGATACTCAACATATCTATAAACTACAACACAAAAACCAAACCTCAAAGGCTAAAGCAACAAAAGGTTTAACTGATATTTAGTTCTGGGTAAGTCTTAGTGAGAGCAAATATTTTCTATATCAAAAAGTCTAACAAAGTCCTCCAAGACATTTCACAAACAATTTTGCCTTTACAGAGAAAAGTAGAGAGGGAAACAACCACACAGACACAACAGAACAAGCTCAAGAATAATCCTAATTTACAGAAAATTAATTATAATTTTAGAAGCAGATGCCAAAGCAATTTTTTAAAAGGTTACCTAGGCAATAAAAAAGGAAGGAAAAGAAAAGGCAAAGTACTATACAATCTTGTACCCACCAGTTTTTGCTGAGGTTTTCTGAAAATCTGCTTGTCAGGCACAATATAGTTGTTTTCATAAAATGCATGAAGCAACAAGAACTCATTTCGTTCAGATCGTCCACCCATCAGTGTTCTGGACTATTAAACAGAATTTTTAAACCATTGAGCTTAAAACCATCACAAACAAAAGCAATGTTGAGTCAGTTTATTTAATCATGGAACCTCCTTCAGCTTCTCAGCAACAAAGGTTACTTTTTCTAAACTATCTAGCTTTCTCTTTAAACATTAAGGGAGATAAAGTGAGCTTAAAATACTGTCAGTGTATCACTCCACTAAAAACATCCAGATGTTAGAGATAAGATCCTTATGTTCACTCAAATCTCTACATACTGCACCTGGCATTCCTCCCCTTTTCCCAACCAGTTGTTGCTTTTACAAAAGCTCAGCTTTCAAAATCCCAGCTCCTCATTTTATAAGCATACATTTAGGTTCATTATCATATAACAACTATCCCAAGAAAACACTGAATCCAACAGGAAATGCTTTTTCCCCCTTTCTAAGTTAAATTTACCATAATGTTCCCAGCGATGTTAGTGATCTGCAATGCTAATGGAAGAACATTTAGCTCACACATGATCTGCAAAATGAATCTGGCATCTTTCCAGACTTGTTCCAACAGGTACAACAGATGAGAAGATTCACTGTACAGAAAAGTAAGAATGAAACAGAATCAAGCAATTAAAAGATACAATGACTGTAATCAGAACTTAAAATATTACAAGGAATTTTTGGTGTATGTAACTTCAAAGCAATGGAACCTTGGCTTCGGAAACTATTTAAAATAAAGAGGCTAAATAATTAGAAATGCATTTATACCACCAATCCCAGTATCCTTCTCTCAACAAAAAAAAAAGAGCGAAATTATGTGTTAACTATAGCTTAAAATTTATCTAGTGTTAATCATAACCTAAAAACTATCTAAATTCTTTTGTTCATTCAATCAGTAAGTATATATTACAAGCCAACTATGTATCAGGCACTGGGTATGGCCAAAGGCACAAATTCCTGTCCTGGTGGGGGAAACACAGTATAAAAAAAGAAAAATAAATAGATAATATTCATACAATGGTAAATAAGTGTTAAAGACAAACAAAAGGGTAAGAAACAAAGAAAATTTAAACTTTCAGGAGCAAAAGCTGAATTTTTACATAGAGAGCTAGGGAAAAAGTCATTGAAAAGAAAGACCAAGAAGTGACAGGACAAGCCATTATAATAGATGGGTATTTTAAAGAACAGCATTCCAAATAAAAGCACAAGACTCTGAGTGAAGTTGATATGGCTGGATCAGGGAATAATAGATAGAAATAGCAGTAAAATAACTTCAAATCAACACCACAAAGACACAGTGTACAGGAACTAGTAAGCTAAAGTAAAGACTTTAAGTAAAAGTAATATCACTAAGAAACTTTGATTAGACTTAATTTGAGCAGGATTACTTTGGTCCTGGATTAATTATGAAGAAAACTGAAGAGGGCAACAAAATTAGTACATAAACCCACTACTATGATTTGATATTATTTGGTTCATTTGAAACTGGGGAGTGGCGTTTAATCCCCATGATAAAGTACTATGGGACATACAAGGATAGACCCTCAGACCTTGATGTTATTAGTACCATCAGCTACCCATGAAGTGCTATGAGGATGAACACACATATACTAAAGATGAAGCTATTGAGTCTCCATGACTGAACACTGGTAACTTTATAAGAAAGATTAAAGGTTATAGACATGTATGTACTTTTCACCAAATGATACCCTAAACAATTACACAACTCTATCAGAGGAGATCCATCTATCTTGGACCTCCAGAATCATATATCAAAACAAACCCTTCTTTTTCATATCATCCAAAATGTGGTATTATCAACAGAAAATGGACTAAGACATTCAGTGATTCGGAGGAAAAAAAGGAATATGGTAGCTTAGGGTAGGGTAGGTTCAGTGAAAGTTAAAGAAGTACTAGGAGCTTTATTTAAAAAACACGGCTGAAAAAGTCCATTGATGGATCTATTGTGGGATGTAAGACAGAGGAATCATTATTGTGGGATGTAAGACAGAGGAATCAAGGATGTCTAAGAGGTCTGAGGTAGAAGATGACTTTGAAGACTTTCAGAAAGTTGTAACATTCATAACTGTCACTGACACAGTTATGAAAGACTAAAAACAGAATCTAGGAAGAGAAAAAAACAGTTCAGTTTTTAACAAGCTGAAGATTCATACTAGATATCAGGTAGGTAGATGAATCTAGAATTTGGTAGGATGTTTAAAACAAAGATATACAGGTAGGAGGCAGTAACCCCAGTATCTAAGCTACACATCAGCCAGCCTAGAGAGGAAAAATAGTAAGAAGTAGATGAAGAACTCAGGAGAAATAGCTTAGAAAAGGGCTCAAGAAGCAGAAACTATGCTTTGCCTACGGGTTTTTTACCTTTCTTTATCTGTATCTTTCTTTACTTCTTACTCCATGACTGGCATCCTCCTCTCCTTTTCTCACTCCTCCCTCCTCACATTCTTCCCTAGATTTCTAACCTCTATTTATTCTCTCTGCCAGCCAGTAGCACCTATTTGTCTCTCCTGCCTAGATATTCAGCTCTTTATTACACCAATCAGGTGTTTTAGGCAGGAAAAGTAACAGTTTTACAGTTAAACAAATGCAACATAAAAAAGGTAACACATTTTTGCGTCATTAAATATTTCACAGCATAAATGAATGTAACATATCTTAAAATAATATTCTACAATACAGGTCAACTGGTTCCATTAGAATAATTCAAGAGATAAACTAATTTAAAATATGAAAATAATGGATATGATGGAATTGGTATAAAGATATTAATTTTCTGCTCCATGGCGACTAGCTGGTGTACCTCCAGTCTTAAGACAGTAGTAGCACCTTACTGTTGCTCAATTCAAGAAAGATGAATTCTAAGTAATACAGGGTCATACCTATACATGTTTCGTATATTTTCTGTTGGAATTACAATCCTTTCAGTTTTCAGAATCTGTTGGACAAGTTCAGATAAATGGTAGCTTTTACAATGAATCAATTCTTTTGCTGAAATTTCCACATCACATATCATTCGGCCACAGGTAGCGTTTCTTTCACCAAATCCACTCCGGCTCTACAAGGCAAAAAAAAAAAAAAGAAAAAGAAACAGAAATCAAAACAAATCTCAAGAAGAGGCAAATACTGAGAACAATCTGTTCTAACCTATTTTGGAAGTGTCCCCAAAATAACAATATTAAAATTCTCCTTCCACTCATAAATCAGGTGCTTTTGAACACCTACTGTATATCTGATGATGCAATAGGTACTTAGTATATCACTGTGAATAAAACAACAATTCCTAGTTATATAATTAAAAATTATACAATGTAATCAAGAAGTCAAATGGTTTTAGAAGGCAATAAGTACATGGCAAAGAAGATATCAAAGAAGGGTGAGGGACAGAGAATTTGGAGGGACTGTATCTTAGAGTGATCGGGGAAGACCTTACCAAGAAGATGCCATATAAAGAAAAACTTGGGCTTCACATGATGGTTTATGCCTTCAATGCCAACACTTGGAAGCCAATGCTTGGGGATTGCCATGAGTTCAAAGTCAGCTGTGTAGTAAGCTGCAGCCACCGACTCCCCTCCCATCTCAAAATAACAAATACCCAAACAAACAAAAATTTCAAAGGGGGCAGAGAAGCAGCAGCTAAACAAGTATTTGAATAAATGCTAAAAATGACCTTATTACCTTAAAGATATAAGCAGAGGTAAAAAGAGGTGTAGCCCCAACTCTTGATTCCTAAGAATAGAGTTCTCTAGAAACCCTTGGCATTATAAAAGGTACCGATTCCTAAATTCTCTGCTGAAGCAACATGTTCACTTTAGTTGTAACCTTTAGGTAAAATAAGATTTCAAGCATAAGCACTATCACACTTAGTAAGAAAATGCTTCATTCAAGAAAGTACCAAAGCCCATACATGCAAGCATAGCAAGATCTTGTCTCAAAAAGAAAAAAAAATATTAAGAGGCTAGCCTGAGCTACAGGAAACTCTTAAAAAGCAAACAAACAAATAAGAATAAGTGAAAAGGGAGGAGAGAGGGAAAAGGAATATAAACTTTCCATCATTAACCAGCAGTATTTGGTTATGCTGTAAAAATTTAGAGGAAAGACAGGGTAAATACTAACTTCCTTCTTCACACTGCCATTGTAGGAGGTTGAGAACCATGACATGCAGTGCCAAGCAATGTTTTATTTATTCAGTTCTGGTATTAAATCAATTCCTATTCAAAAGACAGTGCATTCCCCAGTCGCTACCTCATATTTAAAAACCAAATAAAGTGAAATTTTGAAATTACCCCAAGTTTTGGCATGTTGGATCGCCTCAGTCGACCTATCTTGGACCAGTAAGGAACTTTGCCAACATTAATTCTTTGCAGAAGCACTTCCATTTCAAAACCACAAATATTATGACCCTAGTCAAAAAAAGACAGCCAATCACATAACAAATACAAATTAGATAATTTGTCTTCAAATGCAGAATTTCTTTAGCCTTTCCTTCTCTGGTCTCTTAACTCAAGAGCTTACCTCCAATTGGGGTCCTTTCTCCTTCAGTATCAGCAGTATTCATTAGTCTTGACATTAACTAGGCTGCTAAGCAGATTGCTGATACAAGGTTCATATGGTGTCTTTTAATTTACTGCTCAAGTCTTACAATGTTGGAGGCAAATGCAAATTGTAATGTCCCATACCTTTTACATGATCAATAAGAATTTAAAAACAACAAAAAAACTGTGTTGTATACATTTACATAGGACTTCTAAGGAACTCAAACTAATTTCATTAAAAACTGAGCATGAACACAACTGTGCTGGACCTTTAATCAGTGCACAACAAAATATAAATACTAGTAAATACTAGGAAACAAAATTAAACAGTAGATAAGTTATGGGACTATGGCAGGTGGTGGTGGCGCAGGCCTTTAATCCCAGCACTCGGGAAGCAGAGGCAGGCGGATCTCTGTGAGTTCGAGACCAGCCTGGTCAACAAGAGCTAGTTCCAGGACAGGCTCCAAAGCTACAGAGAAACCCTGTCTCAAAAAACAAAACAAAACAAAAAGTTTATGGAACCAGAGACATGGTTTAGCATTTAAGAGCTCTGGCAGCCCTTCCACAGGTCATGAGTTCAATTCCCAGCAACCACTTGGTGGCTCACAACCATCTGTAGTGGGATCTATACCCTCTTCTGACATAAAGTCAAGAGCACTCATATACATAAAGTAAATAAATAAATCTTTAAAAAAGAAATAATAAGTTATTTAATACAACCTGAGTTTTCTATAATTTCCAATTTATATCATTTGAATAACATTTCTAACATAACTAGGTTTACTAAAAAATCAGGATGTTTCAAATAATTCAGATCAATAAAACAACATTTTATTGGAGAATGAACGAACTAGTAGTTGTGAGGGTCTGGAGAAATGGGGAAATAATGCTCTAAAGTAGTGGTTCTCAACTGTCCTAATGCTGGGACACTTTAATACAGCTCCTTATTGTGGTGACTCCATGCTACTTCATAACTGTAATTTTGCTACTGTGATAAATTGTAACGTAAATATCTGTGCTTTCCAACTGTCTTAAGCAATCCCTGTGAAGGGGTCATTCAACCCCTCCAGGGGGTCGCAAACCACAGGCTGAGAACCACTGGTCTAGAGTTTTAATTTTAAAAGATAAAGAGCAACAGAGATAGCAATATTGGAGGTGGTGACAAATGCATATTATGAATGCATATAGTACCAATGAATCTACATTTAAAGGTGGTTAAAATGACTAATTTTAGGTTATAAAAAGCTTACCACTACATGAATGTACATATACTGTACATATTTATGTACTGCCATAATATATAGATATATAAAACATATATATCTTATGTACTGCCGTAATATATAATATAGATATGTATACATATATCTACATATTTATGGCAGTTTATTTATTAATAAAGGAACAGAGGGACAGGACAAAAACTTATTTCCAAATTATTATGGCTAGGGTCTCATCTTGCATCTGGATCTGTCATGTACTTCTCTCTAATACCTTAGGCTGGGTATCCCAGGCTCATAACATCTACTTGTCATTCAAAAGACTGTTTTTAAAGGGTGGTATGGGTCTACTGCTAAGTCACAGCACTGTATATAAAATCTTTCTGGCACTTTAAAGAAAGGTCCTGAAATAATATAAGGTTATACAGACTTTGGCAACATTCCATATACAGATATAAGCTACACCACTACCAGCTAAGGTGTCCAACAGGAAAAATGAGGTTGAAGACACAGTAAACAATCTTTTTTTTCTCTCCAGAATGGATTATAGAACCTTGGATCTGGGCTTTCCACACAGGAAGCACTCTACCACTGAGCAATAACCCCAGCCTCTCCATATTTTTTTCTCAAATATCTACTTACCTCTATTCTTACATCACAAGTTGTTGATGCAACCAAATTAATAATATCACATTTAAAATATATAGGAATTGGTAGCCTACCCACTGCTTTAAAAAATATAAAATCAGATTGATCCAGTAACTCAGACAAAAGAAAAGAATTAGGATCAAGAAGCCTCTTAAACTAAGGAAGGTCAGAGAATACACAAAAGGAAAATGGGCTTTACTACAAGGAAAAGGTACGAATCAACAATAAATTACTACCTTACAGTCCAATGAGAATACAGTAAATTGCCAAGATGAAAAACAAATCTCTACCCCTGAGCTCTCAAAGGAATCATAAAGATCCACTGAGATCTTAAAATATTTACTTTTGTATTTGTAATTTATCCCAAACCAAGAAAATCAATTAGAACCATGAAGATATTGGCAATTTACACATATTCACTTATCAGTGTGCTACAAGAACTAGCAATTTAAGCCAGGCGGTGGTGGCGCACACCTTTAATCCCAGCACTTGGGAGGCAGAGGCAGGCAGATCTCTGTGAGTTCCCAGCCTGGTCTACCAGAGCTAGTTCCAGGACAGTTAGGACTGTTACACAGTAAAAACCTGTCTCAAAAAAAAAAAAATCACGAATCTAGCAATTTATACATATTCGTTTACTGAAGTGCTACTTTGTTAATGGAGGTAACTAAATATCCTGAGCTGACTTCTAATTCAAGAACTGCTCTTACACCAGGAAAAACTATCTAGCATGGGTTAGGATTATTCCTCCTTAGATAGATGAGCAAATCTCACCAATCCAAAGGGTCATTTAATTCTAAAACATCCTTTGATACTCAAAAGTAAATAATCAATAAAAAGCAAATCACCAAGAAAGTTGTACAGAAAAGAATGAAGGAATGAAAACACTTCCCCATGACATGATCAAATATCTACTCACCACAAGAATATCAGGATCAATTTTGTGAACTTTTGCAAGGAAAAATCCTAGCAAAGTTCTTTCTGTTGCAGCAATCTCAACCTTCATATTCTGTTAAGATACCAATCAAGACTTTAAAATATCACAAGCCTTATTTTCTTGCCCAACCAGGGTAAGATTTCTTAGTGTTAAATGTAATCATTCACTTCTAAACAAGATATAGCAATAAAATTTCTGATCCAGGTTTTGCATAATAATAACTGCACAAAATCTCTGAGGACCTCATTCTAGTAATATGCATGTAAATCATGCAAAAATTTAAGTGCTAAGCAACATCAAGAGCAGAAATGTCCTTCCACAGAGACATGTTTGTACACTGGACACATTTAAAGCGTATAAATCAGAGTGTCTTTCCAAAACATTGCTTTTTTTGCTATATAATCCCTGGAAGACTTTGTTGTTTATGTATTTATCAAAGAAATCCCAAGGATTCTATAAACTAATCTCAAATAGCAGGGTGAGAAACAATAAATAAGAAACTAAAACAAACATGTACTGAAGAATTGCAATATATTACATTTTCGGTTGTGAGGCTAGCCTTAAATGGCTGAGCAATCTCTCCAGCCCAGGAATTGCAATGTCTTAAATAGAAATACCAACCCTCACACAAAAAAAACCTCAACTTGGATTAGTGAATATCTATCAGGTACTCAAAGCTGCTCATATTAAAACGCTTTTTAAAACAAAGGTTGATTACTATTATGTTTTCTATAGCTCAGTTTTTAAAAATGTCACTTTGACTTTACGGGAATTTTCCTAGGTCATTTTATTTGAATAGATAATTCAGGACAGATCACAAATGACAGTAATACAATAGTAACCCCTACCTCTAAGAAGACAACTGAAACAGCTTTAGAGTGGAACCTTACAAATTGCACCATCTAATTTTGTCACATGAAAATATTAACAAACAAAATAAACCTACAACCTTTTCAACACTATCATTTCACAAAACAAATAATGTACTATTCAAAAACTGCATCCTTTAGAGTAAATATATTTATTTTTATAAAGAACTCAGTTCATTATAATGCTTCCACTGCCATTTTATTAAAGGTTTATGATACCAACTTCACACAACATACTTGAGTTCAGAAATCACTGATGGGCTTGGGTCAGCAAATATAAACCCTGTCAGTACATGGTCTTTTAATACCTACAGTATTCCCAACACTACAGGGATTCCCTCAATTTGGAGAGGGGCTCTATCCAACATGGTTCCAAAATATGTGATCACTTTAGAAAAGCCTCCATATATGCTAACTGATGGTAGGTTTGAATGTATCCATATCATAATTCCATCATCATCCAAAACTAATTTAAGAATTATTAAACATGTTTAGTCTTATATTCATAATGTATTTTATCAAGTTAGTACCATAGTTCAATACACCAAGAAGAGATCTAATAAAGTAAAACATAGAATAGATGTTATTCTCTTTCCAAACAGATATTCTACACTTAAAAGAAATGAGTAATTTACCTTTTTCTTAATGACTTCTTTGAAAGCACATGGGAAAATACAGTCCTTTGGCTTAGAGACAACTATAGGAAGAAAAACACAAAATTTTGTCACTCATTTTAGGCCAATATCAGCTAGTACATGTTTCTAAACGGAAATTGCTTTAATATAAATTTCACATGAGCCCTAAAGAGTTAAGAAAGTCAAGATCTCCAGTTAGTCATATTGTTGGACCTCAAAACAACAACCAAGGGACCCTTATGTCTGTATAACTGTACAAAATGCTTTGATCAAACGTTTGTTTTCCATCCAAGTTAGAATGGAGGATTAGAACAATCTTTCCCAAAGGAAATCCAATTACCATAAAAGCTTCAAAGAAAAACTTATCTCAACTTTCTTAAAACTGAGAGGTACTATGGACCAAGGCTTCTGCTACTACACAAAAGGCTTCTTCCATACAAAGCAGGCACTCAAACAGTGAAATACGCAGAGATAAAGAAATGCATGCTAACATGAAGCAACAACTATTCTCTTCCAAGTATTTCCTAGACTCTTATCAGTATTCCTAATACTCAAAAAGCCAGACACAAGAGGTTGTTGAAAAGAATCCAAAAATATAAAACACTGAATCTTAATTCTTACTTTCTTTTTAAACAAAATGCTTACTTAATCAACCAACCTCTGAACATGGAATGTCAGACTCCTTAAAGATCAACTCACAAAACACACACATACCCCATTCTATGAAACAATTGCACCTACTGAATTTTATGCATAACACAACTCAATTCCAGTTAGGCATACTATAATGTCTCACAAATAGGTAAAGATTCATTTATTCCTTAACATTTTGCCTCATCACAGATTTTATTCAATAAAACTCAAGTTTCCACAGCTGAAAGCAAACATCTTTACTAAAATGTCCTAATTAGGCCAGGCAGTGGTGATGCACACCTTTAATCCCAGCACTCGGGAGGCAGAGGCAGGTGGATCTCTGTGAGTTCGAGGCCAGCCTGGTCTACAAGAGCTAGTTCCAGGACAGGCTCCAAAGCTACAGAGAAACCCTGTCTCAGAACCCCGCTCCAAAAAAATGCCCTAACTACTCTCCAAAGCAAGTTTCAAAATACAAAGTTACTTATCCAACAGACAAAGAAAAATAAAATCAAAAAAGAAAAATCAAACTCTTAAAAATACATACCACAGAAATGCGTCTGAAAGGGAGGCTTTGGAGGTGCTTTATCTAATGCAAAACTGTGATGGACGAGAGCTGCAATAGCAATAATCTGCAAAGAAAGGAGCGGGGAAGATCAGATACCTACTATATGTTTTACCTTACCACAAGAACTACTAGGAATAATAAAACATATTTTAATATATATAAATTCCTTTCACTTTTTAAAGAAAGTGTTTAAAGCTCTGACAAAGGGTTAGTATCTACAATATAGATAGAACTAAGCATCAAGAAAACTATTACCAAACTAAAAACTGGGGCATGGAACTAAACGAAATTCTTAGAAGAAATGCAAAATGGCTGAGAAGTATGTTTTCAAATATTCAACATCCTTAGCTGTCTGGGAAATGCAAATTAAAACTGTGATGCCCACCAACTGATGAATGAATACTGAAAATGTACACATATACACAATGGCATATTATAAAATTCTCAAGCAATGGGCATAGCTGGAAACCAGAATTCTAAGTGGGGTAACCCAAACCCAGAAAGACAAATACCGTATGTTTTCTCTCATATGTGGATGCTAGCTGACTCTTTAGAATGTGTGTTTAAACTGGAGGAGCCATAGAAGGTAGGAAACTAGTAAGCAGTCATGGGTGGGGGGGATTTCAAGAAAAGTGGGATAGAACTCAAGGTTCTTTACGGGTACCAATCACATGCAAACAACCACAGGCTCTTACACTCCTTCCCCCTCTTCTGCAATGATCCCTGAGCCTTGAGGAATAAAGTATGAAACAGATGCCCATTTAGAGGCGAGCACTCCATAGCCTCTTATTCTCTGCACCTTGACTAGTTTTGGATTTCTGTACTAATTACCATCTATTGTGAAAAGAATCTTCTCTGATGAAGGATACACTACTCTATGGGCATTAAGATAAAAACTTATCTAATACTGTTTCCATTTATCAGATTCTTTCCTAGGGCCTATGACCTAGCTAATCAGGGAGTCACAGCCCAGTCAATGGACAGTTCCAGTCTTGAGGTCTGTCTTATGGAACAAGCTTAAAGTAAAATCAGAAAGTGGTTGGTTACTCCTGTAACATTCATATATGTGCTGGCTAGTTCTTGACATTTTTCGTTCTTGTTGTTTCTGTTTTTGTTGTTTTTTTGTTTTCCAACTTGAAACAAGATAGAGTTAACAGGGAAGAGGAACCTCAGTTGGGAAAATACCTCCATCCACATTGTCTGTAGGCAAGTCTGTAGGGCATTTCTTGATTATTGATTTATGTGGGTGAGCCTAGGCTGGGGTGGAGGGATGGTGGTGGGGAAGGGATATACCTCCCCTGGGCAAATGGACTCCTGATTAGGTGATCCTGAGCTATATAAGAAAGCAGGAGCGGTGGTGCTTTAATCCCAGCACTCAGGAGGCAGAGGCAGGTGGATCTCTGTGAGTTCAAGGCCAGCCTGGTCTACAAGAGCTAGTGCCAGGACAGGCTCCAAAGCTACAGAGAAACCCTGTCTCGAAAATCTTAAAAAAAAAAAAAAAAAAAAAAAAAAGAAAGCAGGCTGAGCAAGCAATGATAGCAAGCAGGTAAGTAGCATTCTTCCATGGCTTCTGCTTCAGTTCTTGCCTTTAGGTTCCTGCTTTTATTTCCTACCCTCACTGATAGACTCTTATCTGGAAATGTAAACTGAAATAAACTCCTTCCTCCCCATGTGGTTTTTGGTTCTGGTGTTTGATCACAGCAATAGAAACCCTAAGTAAGATAATGTCACTATTGTACCAGTGGACAAATCTTGCCAGGCTGATTATTGTAACTTTTAGGATTCACAACTAGGTAAGAGTGTTCAATACTTTCTTCCCCAGTAGCAAAAGTAGAACCTTCTGGCATTATTAAAGCTAGGCTGGCTAGGTGGTGGTGCTGCCTCCCAGCAGTCGGGAGGCAGAGGCAGGTGGATCTCTGAGTTTGAGCCCAGCCTGGTCTACAAGAGCTAGTTACAGGAGAGGCTCCAAATCTACAGAGAAACCCTGTCTCCAAAACCCCAAAAGCTAGCCTGTATGGATGAAACTTAAAACTTATAGGCTGGTACCAGCTTGATTTCTTTATATTCCGTGACTCAGGTATGTGCTGTCATTTGTAATAGTGTATAACTGTCAAGGGACACTCATAGGGAGTGACACTATTAGGAGGTGTAGCTTTGTTGGAGTGGTTATGGCCTTGTTGGAGGAAGTTGAGAGGGAAACATGGTGAGGAGATAGAAGATAACTGGAACAGAATGCGGAGGTGGATTTGATAAAAACACATATGCAAAGTGATTCCCACTGAAAAGATTTATTTATATGTGTACACACACACATACACACACATCTGTGTATGTCACATATGTGCAGGTACCCATGGAGACTAGAAGAGGATATTAGATACTCTGGAGCAGGAGTTACAGGTAGCTGTGAGCTGCCTGACATGAATGCTAGAAAGTGAACTCAGGTTCTCTTCAAGAGCCGCATGGATTGTTAGCTACTAGGCCATCTATCTGGGCTCTTTTAACTCTACTTGTAAAAATATTTAAGCAGATTTAAAATTGAGTAAAAATTAATAAAACTAATTCCCATACACTCATAGTTGGGTTTCAATTATCATTTTTCCTAGGTCTATTTCAGTAAGAGTCTTCAAAAGTGTTTTTCAATCTCAGTACCACTGGTATTTCATGTCAAACAATTCTTTATGAGACCAAGCTTTCATAATTAATAGTAAGTCCTCAGGCCATTACTTGTTGGCTAGTGGTCCAAATATAGTTTGACAAGAAAGCTTGTTACACCCAACCATAAAATTATTTTGTTGCTACTTCAGAAATGTAATTTTGCTACTATTATGAATCACAACGTAAATATTTAATATGTAGGATGTTTGATATGTAACTCCCAAAGGGGTCACAATCAATAGGGTGAGAACCAACTTAGACCCATTTCACTAGGGATTACAAATTGGTCGTTTTTTTTCCTCATCATGTACTGAAAACTTCTAAGTAGAGCAATTTCACATTTCAATTACCTGGCATCAAGAAGTACTTATCCCAGAAAAGTCAGGACAAACACTTGATTTGTTTTTTTTTTCTTTTTTATGTTTTCAAATGAGTTAGTTCCCTAGTTTCCCTCATGAAGTGATTAATGTGGTGGTATTGTTTGACATTTATGTGTTTATTATAACTTAGGAACTTGTATATCTGATATTTCCATCTGTAGCAGTTATTCTTCTGATGCTCATAGTGCCCCATATTTTGCATAGGAGACTTTTCAACTTGTTTCCTGAGTCACCTGTATCTTCAGAAAATTTTAATAATGCCCTTGCTTTCTGATATAACAAAATGTTCCAGGCTTACCTTATATATTTCCTGCTCTGAATCAGCCTTTTCTCCACAAATTCCTATTCCCTTTGTTAAGAAATGGTATCACTCTAGGAACGGGCATCTCTCTTAATTCGAACCAAGTACTAATTAATTAAATCTTTCCTCAATACTTAATTATTAACACTGGCTATCTACTATGTTAACTTATTTGAAAAATCAAGGGCATGGAGCATCACTCAGTGGTATAATGAGCTTATCAAGTGCAGTCTTGAGTGAATCCTCAGTACTTCCAAAAATCAGTAAGAAAATGAATAAGTAAAATCTCAGATTAGAAAACATTTGTCAAATGTTATTTTTTAAATCCTAAGTATCAAAAAGACTTAGAAGAAAACATAGAGAAGCTTTGATTAACCAAAGTAAGACAAATATACCCATGAAAAACAACAAGCTAGGTGGGGCAGCAGTCCTGTAGTGAAAGCCATTTGGGAGACTGAGCTGGAAGGAATTCATTAACACATACGTTCAAGACCTGGGCAATAGAGTAAAACCCCAATTCAATAGTAATAATAGTAATGATGAATGCCATAGATTAAAACTACCAAATAGCCCACAAGTAACAGGACAGAGATTGTTGAGCAGGCAAAGATGCTTGCCACCAAGCCTAACAACCAAAATTCAATCCCTAGGACATGGAGGAAAAAGAGAACTATTGCCTATAAATTGTGCTCTGACCTCCACACACATATTGTGACATGTATGTGTCTACGCACCACACTGACACATGAACAAAATATAATTTAAAAATTTGGAATTTAAAAAAATTAATAATATAAAATACAGGGACATCATGAACACATAAAATCTATGTACAAAAAAAGTCAAAGCAGAAACAAAGATAACTGATGCTCAAGTTCCCAACCCCCTACTCTGAAAATCTGAAATTAAAGTATTTAGCCTGTTGTTCCTATACAATGTAATCAAGTAATTGCCAGTTAATGAAGGTAACTTTACAGAAAAATTTAACTCATAAACATGGACATAATTAGAAAGCCACCACTCCTACAGTGCCTCTCTAGTGGGGTAAATTTATCTCCTTTTCCCTCTGAATAATATCTAGTAATGGCAATAGGAATTTTTCAGTTGTCACAACTAGGAGGAAGTGGTGCTACTTGCATCTAGTAGATAGAGGCTAGAGATATTATTAAACACAGAACAGTGCTTCAGAACAAAGAACCACCCAGCCCAAAACATTTGTAGTTGCCAAGGTTAATAAACTTTATGAAGAGCTCATAGAAAAATTTATGATGACCACTAATTGATCACATTAACCAATCCCAGCCTGAACAGTTTGACTAGGCATTATCTGCTTTCTGAAATATCCAATATTAAGTATATTGGTCACCTACCCATGAATTATTTTGTATAAAAAGCTAAATTTTAATCTAATTAACTTTAGCGTTAATGTGACACACTGCAGAACAAAGGACAGAATTGAGTGTGGCACACTGTCAGAAATATTTTAGGCTCTTCAGACCATATAACCTGTCATTACAATCTGATTGTTATTGTAGTACAAATCTGAAAACCTACTGTATCTCAATAAAATTTTATTTACAAAAACAGGTGGTAGGTTGAATTTAGCTCACAGGCTACTCTGTGTCAGCATCGGGTATAGAAGATTCCTAATGGTATCCTAACAAACATACACAAAAAATGGGGCTTCCTATGTGATCAGTGGTTTTGTAATTATTCCTTAGCATTGAGAAAAACTGAAAGGCTATGGGTAGGAGCTATTGTCTTTAAAAAGAGATTCAAGAAGCATAAAAGTGAAATGTTAACCTATGAATCTAATGTGCAAATCTGGATCCAAACAAATCAACTTTGAAAATCATGAGAAACAGATTCTTCCAAATAGACTGTATCAAGGAATCATAATGTTAAGTATTCTAATAGTCTAATGTAAGAAAAGTGTGCATTAAGTAAAGATGCGAAATGGCAGTCAGTTAAGTGCCTGCCAGGCTAGCATGAGAACTTAAGCTTTGATCCCAAACATAAAAAGTCAGGTGTGGCAGCATGTATTTGTAACCTCAGTGCTAGGAGATAGGCAAATCCCTGAAGCTCCTTGATCAGCCCAGGTAACATGATTGATGAGCGTCAGGTTCAGTAACAGACTCTGTCTCAACAAATAAAGGTAAAAAAAGCAATCAAGTAAAAGCACCCACTATTCACCTCTGACATTCACATGCACAAACGTGTGTGCACACTTGTACACACTCTTACTAACAAATACATAGACTACAAACACACATAAGAAAATATGCATATAGTGAGAGACGTATACCAAAGCATGCTGGGGTAAAATGACAGTACCTTTTAAATACTTAGGAAGGAAAAGGGAAAGGATACAAACATGTGTCACAAAACATTGTTAACTGCTAAACATGTGTGACTGACATAGGAGCTCATATTATTTTCTCTGTGTCTACTTAAAAAATAAAAAAAACAAAATATTTCCAGCAATTTAATCCTTTAAAAACTGTGTAATACCAGGCAAATTCAATCCATTCTCTAAAACACGGCCTAGTGCCAAGTTTGCACCCTTTCCCCTCTAAAAGGAAAGCAGATCAAATTCAGGCAAGTATTGTATCTGAGGCGTAAGTACAAACTCTGCCATTTTACTTTACCTCATGCTCATGGCTCTTTACATTTTGCATTGTCTTCATGCTGAAAGACATTACCACAAGTGGAGGAGGACTGACATCTTTAATCACATTCACCAGGTCTGGTTTCAAAGCCACCACCTCAAATTTACACCAACTGATTGGCTGGTTCAAGAGCTCTGAGAAAGAATAGATACAACATATCAATAACTTACTGAAAAAGAAAAAGTACTATAATTATGACATTTTTATTAACAGATAGTCTTCAAAGCTATTGTCTACTAAGAATGACATAATATGACATCTACCTAAATATAAGCACATTAGTGGGCAGTATGCCAATCCTTGCGTGTCTGTGAATAATACACCTGTGCTCATTTGGGATGAGTAAAGGAGGAGCAATACCTTTTATAATTTTTTTCAAGGAATCCAAGATCAGCTTTTAAAATAACAGCTGTCTTAGAGGAATTTAAAACATTTTAAAGAGATGAAGACAAAATAGTAGCTTAGATACAAGTGCTAAGATACAAGTAACAAGCCAGAGAATTCTGTCCACGTTAAGTTGTGCTTCTCTCCCCTCCAAAGGTCAGCAGTGCACTCTGGAGAACAGTTGTACCCTATCAGTCAGGTTAAAAGAACACTCAAAAAAAACATAATGACCCACACAACTGCCTACACTAAGATCTCCCTCAGACTAAATTGTCAGATATTGGAAATTGATTCCAAGTGTATCACCTATAATCACTCAAGGAAAACATTCAAAAGACAAACACAAAAAAGAAGTAGAAACATTAAATAGACCAATTCTTTAACTTCCCTTAAAAAATCTAAAGAGGCCGGGCGGTGGTGGCACACGCCTTTAATCCCAGCACTTGGGAGGCAAAGGCAGGTGGATCTCTGTGAGTTCGAGACCAGCCTGGTCTACAGAGCTAGTTCCAGGACAGGCTCCAAAGCCACAGAGAAACCCTGTCTTGAAAAACAAAACAAAAAAAAAATCTAAAGAGATCCCATGGAAATTCCTAAACAACTCAGGCTGTTGCTGAAACAAAGGGTTACTCTCTGCAAACTGATAGCAGGGCCCTAATGCCAAAGACAATACTCATACAATTCACTGTAGTGTCTTTGGTGTAGGAAGGTACTCTACAGGTTACCGAAAAAGAAATGTGAACACCAACCCAACCACAAAACCTTTGACCTACAATCTGCCCTGCCTTCAAAATCAAGCTAGGGTAATGGTGACACAGAACTTGGAGTAGCCAGCCAATATCTGATTTTACCTAAGGTGCACTCCACAAGATAGAACCTATACCTGACACTGTTTGAGTAACCAAGAACCAGAGATTAGATAGCCCAGAGACCGATGGTAAAACCAAACACTACTGATCAAAACAGAAGTATCAGTAAAATGACTCCTAATGATATTCTGCTATATTCTTAGATCAGTGCCTTATCCAGTCACCATATGGCTTCCTATGGAAGAAAGGAGCAGCAACAGCCAGACATTATGCAGAAAGAAAGTCTAAATAGGAGATCTCCATCAAATCCCTCCTCGAACCTGTGATTATATAACAGCCAGAGGGGATAGAGAACACCAGGAGAACAAGACCCTCTGAATCAAGTAAGCAAGGAGCCTATGAGCTCACAGAGACAGAAGTAGCAAGTGCAGCGCCTTCAAGAGTCTACACCAGGTCCTCTGTATAAAAACTATAGCCATTAGCTTAGTATTTTTATGGGACTGCTAACTATGAGAATGAGGGAGTCTCTGATTCTTTCTTGTGCCTACTCTTGGAACTTTTTCCCTCCTGTTAAGTTGTCTTGTCCAACTTCAATATGATAGTTTTTGTTTCATCTTATATTTTATTTTATCATGTTTGGTTGTTATCTCTTAGAAGCCTGTTGTTTTCTAATAAGAGACAGAAGGGAAGTGACTCCAAAGGAGACAGGAGGCAGGAAAGAACTCGAAGGAGTAGATGGAGGAGAAACTATAATCAAGATATACTGTATAAGAAAAAATCTATTTTCAATAAAAGGAAAGAAAAGTGAAAAAAAAATCTCAGGAATCTACTTAGCATTTTTCCTTACGTGGATTTTTTACTTCAAGCCAACAAGGTCCTTTGATCTTTCTGTTCATCAAGAACAATTCCAAGCTAGACGTGTTGGTTCCAAATACATGAGAAAATGTTTCACCTTTCAAATGCTGTGGAAGCTGTGGCATTTCCGCCTGAAGAAGAAAAAACTTCATTTTGTTTAAAACTATTACTTCGCATTTTCCCGTTGATATTTGAAATAAACAAAACTTCTATGGAGCAACAGAAGAACCCCTTTGATATATAGGAAATGTAATCTACTACAAATGAATCTAAAACAATTCACAATGGAAAACAAAAACAATTCACTATGACAAAATAATGCATCTTAATGACACCTGTTAGAAGAAAAATAGGCCAAGAAGCTCCCTCAAAAGAGAATGTCTGTCCAGAGTTGTCGTGTCTCACTAATAAATAGCCAACTAAGTACCACTCCATTAGAAGAATGAAAGCAATAGAATGGGACTCACTAAAATTGTTTTCACGTTATTTTTCATCATCATCACTGTCAAAAAAATTCCTTTTCCAACAGCAGGATCAAAACACTAGAACAGAGGTAAAAAGGTAACAGTCCAGCTAATACCCAAAGCAACTACTTTGCCTCTCAGAGGAGCAGGAACAGCACTGTAGCAAATCCTCTCTCACCTTTCCTCTGCTCACCAGACATTTCTGTAGACTGATGAAGTCCAACTCCATCATGCAGCATATCTGTTCCACCTGACAAATGGTTGTGCTATTTCAACTTTCTTATTTGAAGATGTGTACTTGAAAGGCAGCATAACTTATGCTCTATTACTTAATTTTATCTATTTCAATTATTAATGAACTGTGGGCTTCAAGAATCCTGCCAATACTCCTAACTAAAAGCCAGATGAAGATTCAAAGATAAAAAAGTCATTCAAAACTAAGCCCCAGTTTTCTTTGTCTGACTTACCGAGTATCTAACTTCCAAGTACTCAGATGTTTCTGGAACATCAGGTATCTCAAAAGCATAGTTCTTTTCCACTGTCTGGGTAAGCAGATATTTAAAAAATTATCAGGACAAGGTCTTTGCAAAAATTAAATCAGCCAGTATAATATACACATAATACATGTTTGCATATTTAATCATAAGAAATCTAGCATCCTAACAGAACACCAAAATAAACAAAAAAGATAGTTTTTCTCCTTTCAACTAATACTAGAAACACTTACTGACAAAAATATTAAAGAACATCTCTTGAACACTAGAGAACTTATGAAATAAATGCATACAAGGGGAACAATAAAAGACTGATTTCTTAAAATGATAATGCACTAAATCATTGCTACTATTTGAAATTAAACTGCACCTTGCTGTAAAAACTGACATTATAAATTCACTTCATATGCAGTATCAGCTATGTGTTAAAAATTACTATAGTATAAATTATCACCTAATATGAATTAAGTGATTTAACTCTGCAACTTTTGCAATACGGCTCCTTTTTAAGCACAGAAAACTGACTGCACTTTCCATAGTTCCACAGTAGTACACACAGGGCAAAGTTTGAATACACAAGCAATCCAGCCCCAGCACCTACATTCTTTACTATCATACATAATATACTGTTTCCAAAATTTTTGGTTTTGAAGTTTTTTTGTTGCTGTCTGTCTGTAGTGACGGTGATCAAACTTGGGGTTCTTTGTACTGTTTCTGGAATTTTGAAGATGTGACTCTCAATTTCAAGCTCAAATAATTAAGAGTGTTAGCCTATCTTTAGCAACTCAATCCTCCCTTTACTGAAACCATTTATATAGCCAGTATTTTCAAATGGGCTACAGTTCCCACATTCATAGCCAAAGGCATCAATAGCTTAGCAAAATCAAGACAATACACCACACAGATCACACAAAGAGAACATTTTCATTCTGTCAGAAACAGTATCATAGGCATGGATTTTTAAAGACAAAGCCTTACCCATGCTCTTAAGCAAAATTGCACTGGCAATAACTAGTATAAACAAATCAGAATAGTTTCTTCATTTCAGAAAAAAAATACATGATATATTGTAGGAACTGGGGGCAACTAATTTGCTTCAAATCATTTTTCTATTCAAATTCATGACCATTATTTTGTAAGTGATTTTAAAAGAAACAAAGTAGTTTTGCAAATTTAGCATACTGTTTTTACATTTACACCTATGAAATTTCCATTTAATGAGTTACAACTATGCAGAAGGCATTCTACATGAATATGCAGTTAACTATCTGGTAAATAAGAAAATAAACAAGAACCATAAAAAATACAGTATTGAATACAAACCTTGGACTTGAACTTCATTATTTTATATTTTGCTGCAATTTTTGAGTCAAATTCTTCATAAACATCCTTCATTGTAACTGGAGTTGTTGTTTCTTTCCCTGTGTTTAGGTCAATTTTCTGTTATCCCATGGAAAGAATAATGAAGGGAAAAGAGTATAAGTCTTCTCATCCATGAAAAACAGAAGCCTAAATCAATTTTCACCTCTATTCATTTAAACATTGACTAGCACAGTCTTACAAATGAGTGTGAAGGCAAAGACTTAAAAAGTATACTAAACCCAATGTCAAATCCCTCCAGTGCATTATAAAAGCCAATCAGAAATAAAGATGACCAATCCTAAAAAATGGGAAAACAAGTTTTAAATCCTGGCCCAGAAGTTCCACAGTTAAACTAAGATGGAAAGGGGAAAGGACTGGGGTTTAAAGGGATTCGAGATGTTAAAGATAAAGAAGGGAAAGGATTCTCCAAATAAAGGGGTGTCGTGCTGTGTCCGCAGGTATCACTGGTCCTCTCACAGCCTGTAGATGCTGAAATAAAAGCTGCTGTTTGGTAACTGTCAAAAAAAAAAAAGGGAAAGGAAATGGAAATGATTTTGTTAATTAGTCATGAAGATGATGTTACTGCTACCTAGAGAGCAAAAGCATGAAAACTGAATCAAATGCCATTGCAGAGACTTAGTTACAAGTCCATAGTGCTAGGCAAAGGGGAAATAGAAAAAAAGTAAGCATTCCATATATTTTAAAATTTATTATTTTTTAAACTATGTCTATGAAGCCTGGCCCAGTGACACATCTTTAATCCTGACACTCAGGAGGCAGAGGCTCGTGGATCTCCATGAGTTCAAGGCCAGCATGGCCTATATAGTGAGTTCCAGGCCAGCCAGAGTTTATGCATTAAGACCCTGTGTCAAAAATAAACAAACAAAAATTTTGTCTACGTGTGTGTATATGTATATGAAGGTGCCAGTGGAATCTAGAAAGAATGTCAGATCTCCTAAAGTTCAAGGGGGTTCTAAGCTACCTGATGTGGGTGCCAGGAACTCAACTTGGGTTCTCTGGAAAAACAGTACCAGCTCTTAACCTCTAAGCCATCTTTCCAGCCTCCAGCAATATATATTTTAAGTTTTTATTATAAAAATAGAAAAACTCAGTTATACTTTATTTTTATACTTTTTAAATTAAAATTGTGTCATTCACAATTACTGAGATTAAAAGGTAATCACTAATGTTTACCATTTCACGGGGAAGGAAGTAAAGTGTTCGCTCGATGTTTTTCACCATAACACAACAGCTCACATGGATTTGGGCAGATTTGATCCACACTTTGCCAAACAGAAAAACCACACCTGAAGAAACAAAGGAAAACAAAAGGAAATAAAACTTTCAAGTAAATAGAATTAAAGGGGCAAGTCAAAGGCCCAATGAATTGTGTTCACATATTATACCTAGTTCATATTTGTATTCCCTTATATTCTTCTAAGATCACTAGGTAATAAATACTGTAGCATTAAAATGTGGCTTTGCAAACATCGAGTCACTATTCATAAAAACTGGCTGTCAAGTAAGAACTCCAAAGATTTGATAGCCAACTCAAGAGATGGTCAACTTTGCAAAATCCTGGGCTTCGTGAATTATGAGTAATCAGTACAGCCACTCAAAACAGCCACTGATCTTAAGACACTAAGAAAATTCTGACACATGCAAAGGTTACTGTTCACAAGGCCAATTACTCTAGTTTCCAAGACAGCTCATCAGTGTTTTCTTTTGTCACTCATCCTGGCAGAAAGAAATAAGACCACCCAAGGATTTTCATTTCTGCAGATGATTAAAACTCTTACAAAGATTGTATAATTTTCAACAAGGAGGTAGGGTGTATAAGTGGGGAATATAAAGAGAAGGAAAGGGAATACAGAGAATAATTTTAAAAAAATCTTCAGAGTAGCACAGAAAATTAAGTCATCCTTACAACAGTTAAAAATGAAAAAACAAAATTTCATGCAAAGAAAAAATGAAGACCCTAATATTGGATTCAAAGATTCAAATAGCTCATTTTACAGTCAAACTAATATCACACTTCATGCAACACATTTGACACTGTTTATGCCTCATTTGCCACAAAAAGATCATGGTAAACAAAGATTACATTCCTCCCCCCAAAGTTACTAGCTGAAACCAGGTGCAGTCAGGATTATTCAACCTTGAAAAAGTCATAATGAAGACAGGATATGTTCCGATATGCAAAGAGTAAGATTCTTTTCATAATTATGGTTCATTCAGCAATAACTGACTGACTTAGAATCTGGAAGAAAGTGAGCAACAATAACGGGGTCTTTAAGCATACTCCGTTCTTATTAGCAGCACTGACTTCACCAAAGCTTAGTGATCATTAGCAACCATCATGATGAAACTGTTCAACCCCTTAAGATTACAGCTTTTAAAAGCTATTTTATTTAACCCATTGGCATCAGAAACAGAAACATATGCCACTGCAGAGAATGCAACTTGAGAAGTGCCACAGAAAAGGGAAGTGGACTTAGAGAGGGAAGCAGAGACTTACGACAGGAAAGGGCCAAGGGTACATTTTTCAGTCATGCTGGAGATTGAACTCAGGACCTTATGTATTTTAAGCACATGCTCTGCCACTGAGCTATATTGCATGAAACGTATTTTACATTTATTTACTTTTTTATATCAGTATTGCTCAGGTTGCCCTCAAACTTCTCAGCTGAAGAGACCCTTCCACCTCACCTGGGTAACACAAGAGAGCCAACCCTGTTGGCAGAGGTATGGGTGAGCCAGTCTTAAGTTGTTTGTGTGGAAGAGCTGACCCCACTACTCATCTGTCGTTCAGAGGTGGAGGAAAGATGTCCCCCGCTACCTGCAACAGACTAATGCGATCACCCGCCCCCTTGCCAACTGCAGCACTCAGGAAAGCAGGCCCTGCTCCTCGCCTAGACATTACAGCAGAGTTGGCCCTGTTGCCTGAAGTATGACCCACGTCATGTTGCGAGCAAATGAGAGCTGTCCCCATTACTCATCTGACATGAGGTCACATGGGTAGAGAAATACCATCCATTCCCACACCCCCCCCCCATCAATGTCTGAGACAGGTGGAAGAGCTGGTTCTGGAGTCGGGGCTGTCCCTGACAGCTCACTAGCTGCAGCACTTGGGAGAATGGCCTCTGCACCTCACCTGAGCAACATAGTAGAGCTGACTCTGATAGCGTAGGTGCTTGAGAGACAACCCTGAGGGCATGAGAACAGGAGAACTGGTTCCATTCCTTATTCACTGCTGCAGGGGCAAAGTTGGAGAGTTCACCCTGGTGGCAAGGACAGGGGAGAACTGGCAGGCTGACCAACCCTGCAGCTGCCCAAGCCCAGAACCAGGATTAGGAATTGGTCCACCCCAATATCCAACCCATTTATGTTCTTCTAGAGCACATGAAGTGGTCTGACTCTGACTCAGAGCTGCAGGATCTCCAAACCACAGGGCAAAAACAGGATATCCAAGAATCTCAGTGAGGGCCCAACAATGATGATGTAACAGAAACCAAGGCCTTGAACCAGACCAATGACGCTTTGCAAAGAATACTTGCAAGTAATGATATATAGACAAAGGGGTTTACTATGTGATTCACTGTGTCACACTGTAGCTTCTGTGATAGAGATTTTTAATTTTTCCCTTTTTTCTTTCTTTCTCTTAAATTTTGTTTTATTGGGGGGATTACAGGAGTAGAGGGCAGATGCAAAGGGGCAGGGAAATAAATGGAATCAAGATGCATGATGTGGCTGCACCAAGCGGGGTAGGCGCTTTGTCTGCGAGCTGCCCAACCAGCACGGAGGCCTGATCTTTCGGCGCCAGGAGACCCAGCATTGGGGTGAGTTTCTGGCCCACGGCGCCAGCCTGGGACGGGGAGCTCGGGGGTTTCTTGGCCCCCTGTCCTGCTTGGGCTCTCTGCAGGGCCTCTACTCCCCGGGTGCTGCCTCTTTCTTCCTGGCCCACCCAGCTTCCGTCCAGAGCCCTCCCCACTTCGCCCCCACTACCCTCTTTTGGCGCGTGGCATCGCCCAGCGCAGCCTATCTGGGCGCTGGGTCCGAGTACCCGGGGCTCCCGGGCGGGCAGCAGTTCCTTTGTTTCTGTGGCCTGCCTGCACCAAGCGGGGTAGGCGCTTTGTCTGCGAGCTGCCCAACCAGCACGGAGGCCTGATCTTTCGGCGCCAGGAGACCCAGCATTGGGGTGAGTTTCTGGCCCACGGCGCCAGCCTGGGACGGGGAGCTCGGGGGTTTCTTGGCCCCCTGTCCTGCCTGGGCTCTCTGCAGGGCCTCTACTCCCCGGGTGCTGCCTCTTTCTTCCTGGCCCACCCAGCTTCCGTCCAGAGCCCTCCCCACTTCGCCCCCACTACCCTCTTTTGGCGCGTGGCATCGCCCAGCGCAGCCTATCTGGGCGCTGGGTCCGAGTACCCGGGGCTCCCGGGCGGGCAGCAGTTCCTTTGTTTCTGTGGCCTGCCTGCACCAAGCGGGGTAGGCGCTTTGTCTGCGTGCTGCCCAACCAGCACGGAGGCCTGATCTTTCGGCGCCAGGAGACCCAGCATTGGGGTGAGTTTCTGGCCCACGGCGCCAGCCTGGGACGGGGAGCTCGGGGGTTTCTTGGCCCCCTGTCCTGCTTGGGCTCTCTGCAGGGCCTCTACTCCCCGGGTGCTGCCTCTTTCTTCCTGGCCCACCCAGCTTCCGTCCAGAGCCCTCCCCACTTCGCCCCCACTACCCTCTTTTGGCGCGTGGCATCGCCCAGCGCAGCCTATCTGGGCGCTGGGTCCGAGTACCCGGGGCTCCCGGGCGGGCAGCAGTTCCTTTGTTTCTGTGGCCTGCCTGCACCAAGCGGGGTAGGCGCTTTGTCTGCGAGCTGCCCAACCAGCACGGAGGCCTGATCTTTCGGCGCCAGGAGACCCAGCATTGGGGTGAGTTTCTGGCCCACGGCGCCAGCCTGGGACGGGGAGCTCGGGGGTTTCTTGGCCCCCTGTCCTGCTTGGGCTCTCTGCAGGGCCTCTACTCCCCGGGTGCTGCCTCTTTCTTCCTGGCCCACCCAGCTTCCGTCCAGAGCCCTCCGCACTTCACCCCCACTACCCTCTTTTGGCGCGTGGCATCGCCCAGCGCAGCCTATCTGGGCGCTGGGTCCGAGTACCCGGGGCTCCCGGGCGGGCAGCAGTTCCTTTGTTTCTGTGGCCTGCCTGCACCAAGCGGGGTAGGCGCTTTGTCTGCGAGCTGCCCAACCAGCACGGAGGCCTGATCTTTCGGCGCCAGGAGACCCAGCATTGGGGTGAGTTTCTGGCCCACGGCGCCAGCCTGGGACGGGGAGCTCGGGGGTTTCTTGGCCCCCTGTCCTGCTTGGGCTCTCTGCAGGGCCTCTACTCCCCGGGTGCTGCCTCTTTCTTCCTGGCCCACCCAGCTTCCGTCCAGAGCCCTCCCCACTTCACCCCCACTACCCTCTTTTGGCGCGTGGCATCGCCCAGCGCAGCCTATCTGGGCGCTGGGTCCGAGTACCCGGGGCTCCCGGGCGGGCAGCAGTTCCTTTGTTTCTGTGGCCTGCCTGCACCAAGCGGGGTAGGCGCTTTGTCTGCGAGCTGCCCAACCAGCACGGAGGCCTGATCTTTCGGCGCCAGGAGACCCAGCATTGGGGTGAGTTTCTGGCCCACGGCGCCAGCCTGGGACGGGGAGCTCGGGGGTTTCTTGGCCCCCTGTCCTGCTTGGGCTCTCTGCAGGGCCTCTACTCCCCGGGTGCTGCCTCTTTCTTCCTGGCCCACCCAGCTTCCGTCCAGAGCCCTCCCCACTTCGCCCCCACTGCCCTCTTTTGGCGCGTGGCATCGCCCAGCCCAGCCTATCTGGGCGCTGAGTCCGAGTACCCGGGGCTCCCGGGCGGGCAGCAGTTCCTTTGTTTCTGTGGCCTGCCTGCACCAAGCGGGGTAGGCGCTTTGTCTGCGAGCTGCCCAACCAGCACGGAGGCCTGATCTTTCGGCGCCAGGAGACCCAGCATTGGGAGAGCCAACATTGGGGAGAGACAGCGTTTGGTAGGCAAGGAGACCTAATCCGGTAAAAGAAGATCCATAGGGAGCATTTGGAAGAAGAGATGGGCCGATGTCAAGGCAAGAATTCGCCCAACAAGCTGAAAAGCAACATGAAGCTACCAGAAACAAGCGACCTCACAACGGGAGGACAAGAACCCCTTAATCAAGAGGAAGGAGAAAAGATTGACTTCATGAAAGTGATTGACACCCTTAAACAGCATGTAAAAAACGCCCTTATAGAAATGGATGAGAAATATAACAGAAAGTTTGAAGAATTGAATAAATCA